TTTAATCTGAATATTGTTGCCCAGCGAGAGGGTAACCGTAAAGGTCCCACGTCTAGTTCAGAGCAGGAAGGACCAAAAACTCCTGATCCTAAGGTGATACATATATATATATATATATATATGTATATGTAGATCAATCGCTTTTATTAGTAATAGTCTTTTAATGATGTGATTATAACTCATTTGACGTGTGTTGGATAATTCTTTGCCAACAGACGTTAAGAAGGCTTGCTCAGAATAGGGAGGCAGCCAGGAAAAGCAGGCTTAGAAAAAAGGTCAGACCATATAATTAACAATATAACTCCCGTTTTTTATTTTTTTTATTTTTAATCTCCATTACCAACAAACAAGTTATATATAAATATAAATATATAAATGTAATATATTAAATGGTCTCATATTCTTACGTTTTATATTATTTACAGGCATATGTTCAGCAGTTAGAGTCAAGTAGGATTAAACTTACACAGCTGGAGCAAGAGCTACAAAGAGCTAGAGCTCAGGTGAGATTATACAAGACTAATCACCAATTACCGCTTATAAAATATCATTAAAGCTTCTTCATCTTTAAACTTTATTTATAATTAATTGATCAATACATTGTAATTATTAATTATAATCTAGGGGATGTTTTTTGGTGGAGCACTCTTAGGAGGAGAACAAGGCATTCCTATTGGTATAAGCAACATTAGCTCAGGTAATTTCTTTCTCTCATTTATTTATTTATTTGAACTTTTCACCTACATACTTAAAAGTTAAAATAGAACCTTGCAAAAACCAAATTTTTCATTTTTCTTTTGTTGTGTGTAGACGCTGCCGTTTTTGACGTGGAATATGCGAGATGGCTAGAGGAGAACCACCGCATGATGTGCGAGCTCCGGGCGGCGGTGCACGAACATTTGCCGGAGAACGAGCTCCGGATGTTTGTGGACAATTGCTTGGCTCACTACGACCAAATGTTGAGCCTCAAGAGCATGGTGGCGAAAACAGACGTCTTTCATATCGTCTCCGGCATGTGGAAGACTCCGGCCGAGCGTTGCTTCATGTGGATTGGTGGATTCCGCCCTTCTGAGCTCATCAAGGTCAATGATATTCTTAACTCATCATTATTAATTTAGTACTATTTTATCATCGGATTAAAATTGTTTTTAAGTTTCCGTAATGTAGAAATATTGTTCTTTAGGACATTTCTGAATACATGCAAATAAGTACAACACTAAATCATGTGACTAAAAAGAAATGACAAAAGAATACTTGAACTACAGCTGAGCCACTGTAAAACTTTGTTAGGGTAATTAAATTTTTTTTTTCTGATTTAGTTATTTTCCATATATAGGGGGCTTAAATTATTGTGTCTTTTTTTCAATTTGAAAAAACTCTTAAAAAAACCGCGTTTGGCAACAAATTAACCAGTTTTTAGATTGTCAATCTCACTACAATATTTCTCAAAACTCCCATGTATACGAAAATTTGAAAAGTAATCACCAAAAGACATTCTCAGTTTTCCTTTCTTTTTTTTTTTTTGAACTAATCTTCGAATTCTTGTGATTTTGTCTCTCAATTTTTACACTAACACATAATACTATAATATCGTCACCAAATACTATAACATAATGATCCCACTTATATCCTTTATATTACTTCATATTCGAGGAAATAATTACCTTTTCTCATAGATGGTTTTTTTTTTTTTTTTTTTAAAAAAAACTTTTTTTTTTTTTTTTTTTTATTTTTT